CGCTGAAGTAGGCGGTGTTTGTCACGTGATATTATAGGTATATTCATGTTCATGTTTGTTCGTGATATTACGAGCCGGAAATATAGATGAAAGGTTGGCGAAGGAATGGGGCCAAAGCTATTGATGGGCGCTACCGAGGATTTGCGGGTAAACTATAAAAATATCAATGCCCCTGTTTCATACCAATAAAGTCCCGTGTTATGGACGCGAATGCGTGCGCAGCTAAACTGTATATGACGCATTAAGACTGTCTGTCTCTCTGTGTGTGTATGTTTGTCCGCCTGTCGCGATATTCAGGACTAAGTGAATAACAACATCACAGATAATAACATCACAGAGACTGGTTCAAATTCGGTATGAGTGGTCCTTGCTTCGAGAAGTACAAAATATACATAAGCCTAGCGGAGCTCCGTCCACAGTGGGCGTGGCGTCACCGAAATGGTGAGCAGAGGCCCGCTCGCAATGGGCGGAGCGTGTATTGAAGTAGACAGTCTCCTACAAGTCCTCATACTTCAGTTCTCAGAAGTCATAGAGAGCGGAAAGGAGGTGGATAGAGGTCAGAGAAGGGGGTGAGGTTACGTTCCAACAGTATGCGTGGAGTGCAAAAAGTGGGAGGAGTTATCCGCAAAACTTATAACTTGGTTCCAAGAAGTCCTGGAGACCGAGAAAGAGTGGATTGAGGTCAGCAAAGAAAGAGAAGTTAACTGCTACGGTGGGTGGAGCGTGCGCCAATGTGGGCGGAGTTTGCGCCGAAATTATAATTCGGTTCCAAGAAGTCACAGAGACAGGAAAAGGGTTGATCGAGTACAGCAAAGATCAGAAGCCACCCGCTACCGGAGAACATAACGCGCCAAATTATACGGAGTTTGCCACACAATCTCATACCATGCCTAAGAAATCCAAAAGACTGGGAAAAGAGTGGATAAGGGTAGAGGAGGAGAGGAGAAAAAAGTATTGATGATGGGCGTGCCGCGCCGATAGGGGGCGGAGCTTGCCGTTAAACTAATAATTCGGTTCCAAGAAGTCCTGGAAACCGGGAAAGATGTGGAAGGAAATGGAGCTGGTCACCCTTCATCAACGAGGGGTGAGCGGATGCCACGAAGCTTTATAACTGGGTTTTAAGACGTCCCGGATATCGGGAAAAAAGTGGGTAGTGGCTGACAGCATAGCGAGGGTCAATGGCTATTGGTGGTTGGCGTCGAGGTAGGCGAAGCTTGCCGTCAAAATATTGATGACCCTGTTTTATACATTGCAATCCCGTGTGATGCACGCGAGTGCGTGCGCAACCAAACTCGTAGATATAGTGAAGAAAGGCCTGAATGTGAGACTCCTTCAAGCGGTTGATTCAAGAAAGTGCTATAGCCAACGCTGATTAAAGGTCGAGACGACAGCAAACATCACAACATGTAATCCGGGTTTTTAGAGGAGGTTCCTGATGATTCACTCCGGGAGCGCTAGCCTAGCCTGCGCTTGGCTTATCCCTGAACTTCGACCAAGCCAGCCAGCTAAAGTGTTCCATTCGTCTAGGAGTTCCACTACCGCTTCAAACTGCTTATATCTTGTCAAATACAATTCTGTAATCTGACGCTGTTCCCTATTTGTAGGCAGATGTACCAATCGTTGACAAATCGACTGAGCTATTCTTTCCCTGTTGTCTTTGACTGGCTTTTCCGTAATGACGCTTTCGCTGTTCTCTTCATGGCGAAAATTTCCTGAGCAGCTCACTGCAGGGCTACGACCCGCCATCATATCCGCTTCCAACTTCCAGCTTCTCTACCAAATGTTTGTCTTTGTGCTCCTCGATTTGGTCACAATCTTTTAGGTCACTTTGTGATGCGTCAGACTTCCTGGCTTCAGATCGATGCAGGCGTCGTCCAGTACGCATGCGTATACACCGAGTTTGAATCAAACTTTCTGCTCGACTTTATGAACTCGTTGCCTTAGAAAGCTTCAGTCAGTGCCGACGCATGGTGGAAGCTCCGCAAAACCTTCACAACTTTATGCATTCAGAGGAGGAGACTTTACTACGAGCGCGAAGAAAGTTTTCGCATTTATGCATGTTCCTTCCAGTGTAGGTTGCCTACGGGATCTTCTTTTCACATTAGTTGAGCATTAAGTATTAGTTGAGTTCTCCGCTACGGTTATAGAGTGTCATGCCTATTTCAATTATTTCTATAGGAGGATTGACAACCTTGACTTCGGAGTCCTCCACTTCCTTGCAGCGCCCTTCGCAAGCGCAGAGAACTTGGTCTATTGCTGTCACCTTCTGTCTCATCATGCTGTCTCACCAAGCACTCTCGTTTTACTGCCACTGGAAAGTTGTAATATTTGATAAGACTCTTTAGAGTATTTCACAGGCCGACCCGACAGGACAGGCAGTTCAGAATAGATGCTTGAAAACTGCTATCTCTACCCTTTCATCGAGCGAGGGAGCCATGGTTCAACAGCTTAGGTATGACCACGAATCAGACATCACATCAAGCTAATACCCGCATCAAACCTATGTAATTACATTTGGGTGAAAGACAGTCTATCTAAGAGTGTCGTAGAAACTAAATGCCTATCAACTGGAGTTGAAAGAAAATTCGTGAAAAATATTGACTGATCACTGACAAACCACAAAAGGGCACATCTAGTGATCACTGCTGAGAAGGATCACTCATGCTAGATCTTGCTGTAGCAGCTGCTATCTCAACAAGTTGCAAGAGGATTACTAATTCCCAGTGAGGAGCAATCGCGAAATAATTACTGAGATTGTTGTGTTCACAATCTTTTGTATTCTTGCTTGTTTTCGTCTCCACTAAACGAATTTTTTGAGGAATTAGTATCTCCAGTGTATTCTCCAAGAGGCGAAACTCTTTTGCAGACTTGCTCGTTTTAATTTGTAAGACTCAGTAAAATAATCTGAAAGCAACGAGTTGAAACACAAAGTCAGCACACCTTGATCTGCAGCAGTCACAGTAACGGAAATAATAACAACCTCTGCTAGAGAAACATTACGAATATGTTTCAAAATTTTCAACTGCCGCGGTAGGACCACCTAGCATAAGCATCGTCTCACATCGCTTAATTTGTTCGGCTTGATTTACATATTGTGTTATCATTTGTCAAGATTATACACAAAGCTTGTTAGCTTAGGGTAAAGTCATGAAAAGTCATGACAAGAAAAATAATCCTATCATGTCATGGCGATTTAAAGTATGAAAAGGAGGAGACACATTGTCTGGCTTTGCTCCCTAACCAAACCACCTGAGCTATATTTTTATTTATGATAAGAAGAGGCTAATACCAACGCAACAAGCCCAAATGACATTGTGCAACAATCTATTCTGTGAGTGGGATAGTTGCTTACGAGTACTAC